TCATGAAGAATGATGTTACCCAGTGTCCTGTGTTGTAGTTTATAAGGAATGATGCCAGCAGTACAGGGCACTACCCCTCCAACATTTCTAAAGGAACCAAGAAGAGTAAAACTAGCTGTGTTCTTGATGACATGACTAAGAGTACTTTTACCAGCTCCAGGATTACCCACAAGGAGAACGTTAACATAAGAATCAATGGAATGAGATATTTTAATGTCACCAAACTTCTTGAAGATAGCAATGACAGTATCACTATCACCTGGTCTCCCTTTAGCTAATTCTAATGGTGTCCTCTCCTGTTTGTCTTTAGCCAAAGGATCACAATCACCAGTTGATAAAAAGTATTCAATAACTTCAGTTGTGCCCCAATCAGTAGCATGATGAAGAGGTGTGTATCCATACTTATCAGTAACCATTATATCACAGTTACACTCATTAATGAGGTACTTTACAACATCTATGTGCTTAACAGCACAATGAAGAACAGTCTCACCACTAATAGTATCACAATATTTTTTACGCATTAGAAGACCAAATTGACCTTTGATGTTCATGACTATACACTTCAAGACATCAAGTAATCCTTCACTAGCTACATAATGAAGAACAGGGTAACTACCGTCATAGCTACTAGTACTCTTCATTGGATGACAGCCACACTTTTTAATAAGATATTTAACTATATCAACGTGATTACCTTTAGCAGCAGTATAAAGACAGGGTTCACCAGTATACGGTGGTGAGGCTGAGCGGTAGTATTTATGTGGATCAAAACTGTAAAGTATAATGAGATCTCTTGTAACATCTAACCAGCCATTACTTATAGAATAATAAAGCAGGTTACGCTGTTTCTGGTAAAGTACTTTAGGATCCTGTAAACCTATTAACCGAACAGCTTCTTCATGATCTCTTCTTTTAAAGGCAACCAGAACTCGAGTCGCGACTTGAATTGAAGCTTCCTCTGAAGTTGCCATTTTTTGATCGCGTCACTGACGTGACTAATTAATAGAGTAACGGAGGTAGTTTACGGACAGTGGTAGTATACGGACACTTAAGTTCAAAAACATTAATTTGAGTAGAAACCCAATTTTTTTTCTGAGGGGCAGAGCTCTCCATCTGCAATAGCTAGAACCAATTTCAGCAAGTTGGCAATAGCTATTCTGTGTTATATTTGACTGCAAATGATTATGGTCGATTGCTAAGTCCAAAAATTAAGTGCCTCTTAAAATACAAAAACTTCAACAGCTTGAAACTGCAGACTGAAAGTTTTTAATATGCCAACATCGTATATCAATACAAAGGAAATTAATTACACTATTTGATGGAATTATGTAAACAATATATAAATAATGTAGTAAGAGTTATTTAAGAGCAAATACACCTTGGTGACGGAAGCAGTTACAGGACAGTGATAATAATCACACAGTAACAGCTAACACAAGGGGGGAATGGAAGACTGAAGACTTGGAAAAGGCTATAGAGACAGTTTGTGATGAAAATTCTCTGTTACTGCTAGAGAAAATACTCAATACCAAAGAGCTTTACCAATACATGCATGACCACTCCAGCTTCAAGATTAAGCAAGTTTCAGCAAGGCTTGGTCCATCACCTATACAGGAAAAGAATGAATTATAAAGTAAAGTGGATTATCAAAAATCAATAATTAAAACAGGGTATCAGATAGCCTCGCTGCCTCGGACAAAAGGCCCAACAGTTTCCAACAATATTCCTGAAAAAAGAATGGTGGCATGTGTTTTAAGGAGAAACCCAGAGATAAGCCTATGCACCCCCAACCACTTCAAAGTTTGTAGAGGAATGAAAAAGGATGATGATTTTATTTGCTGCATGTGCACAACCTGGTCTTTGTGAACTAAAAATAGACACACCCCATTTTAAACAGTATATACAGTTGCATTTACACACTTGCATGTATCTAGTCTAAAAAATCCTTAAATTTCATCCTTACTATCATTGCTGTTTAGTTTATTACTCAGTTACCTCAGAAAAGTCATTGGGTCCACTACAAGGTCGATTTCTGTCACTGTCCGGAGACTGCCTCACCTGTCCGTTAACTAGCTCCACCACCCAGTAGCCTTTAAAAAAATTTCTAAAATCCCCAGGACAAGAATTTCTGAAAATCCTTCATGGATAAAATCTGGTAGACCCACTGCTTTCTAAAGGACACCTCACATCCAGTAACGTTAGGTGTCCGTAAACTACCTCTGTTACTCTACGTGAACAGATCAAAACGGACATGGCCTAAATCAAATGGAGAATCTACTGCTAGTACTGGCTTACTGACTCACAACTGACTCAGTTAGGCCTAGATAATTTTTTGTCTGTTGATTGGTTTATGTATACTTGTTTGTCAGTTGCAGGCTCATCTACAATGTATGTATTGGTAGATTCCATGTTGGGAAGGAGTGAAAGAAGGAAGTGTACAGTCATAGGCCCTGATTGAGAGGGTGTCCATCTTAGTGTAGTCCTCTACTGGTACAGGTGGAAGTGAACCCTCTCTCATTCTATTGGAGCCCATTGAAGGAGTACA